TTTGATGACATTGTAAATGAAAGCCTCTTGTTTTTCTTAAGATTTAAAATAAAAATGTAAAATAGTTCTTGAGAGTTAGAAACTAGGGGAAGTTAAATCTTAAAAGCAAATTTCTTAAATATTTAACCAAAATTCATAAATCCCAGGACTAGCCACAAATTTTCTTTGTTACGTGACAAGAGCTAGTACTCAGTACCAAAGAAAAGAGTGAAAGCCAACAAGCTTTGTATATTTTAACAAAACAATTTATTTCCCTAGACAACAAAGTAAAAGTTGGTAAATAAGATTTACAGTTTGTGAATATAATCCAAATATGATTCTAAGAATGAAAACACAAGTCCTATCACTAAATAGTCCTATTAGAACCCATGTTCGAGTCCCGACGACGTACAAATATGGAAGTCGATGTCAGATGTAGTCAAATATACGAATAACACAAAGTCCTCACTTGAATCACAGTCTTTTTCCGAATAATTCCAAAATAAATTTCCACGAATATCTTTTAGAATCTTTGTTATAAAAAAGTCAACTGCTGAGTCTCCAGGGGAATAAACTAAATCCAAAAGTCAGACGAGGAATAAACAATCATGGCAACAAATTATAAAATACACATTGTTACTTCAAGGGTTTTAATTACTCTGCATGAAAAAAATGTTAGGATTACGTATTAAGAACCCCAATGCCTCATTTGATGTTTCGCGAGATTGGTCATGTGGTCTCTTACTACAATATTTTTGTTACGTCCGCCGGTATGAACCCACTTAAAAACCAATCATAAAAAGGTTATTTAGTACCAGTAATTACGGAAAGAAAGTATGCCCGTGATACTGACCAATCATTTTAACTTCCTGTTGACACTGTTAACAGGTTAAGACGGATTAAATGAAAATTCTCACGTAACACTTCTTCGTCTTAAGTAAACAAACTTTGTTATAAAAATATATCATTACTGAAAAAAACCCCAGACTAATAGAAAATGTTTTCATTGCAATTAAATACAATGAAACAAAAATGAAATTTAAAAAAATTAAACCTTACACACAAGCAATTTAATCATATATACGTAAAAGAAAAATGCATAAATAGAAAAAGAGACAGAGATCAGATAGATAACAATGACTGCATTTTTTCCCATGTCCTCAGAGTTAAAACAAGCCTGTCAGTTTCAAATAATTAGGGCTTTCTCTTCCAACTTTATATTTATCTGTAGCATAAGACTGCATTGATTCAGTTTCATGTACTTACACGCCAAAGGAGGCAACCATGGAGGCTATGTAGGGTTGGAAATACTCTACCACAGAGCAAGAGGAGAAGATCCACTGATTGGTGTTACTGAATGAAGTCCCAGCTGCCATTATATATCTATCAGCCCCGGAACAATTATTATTCGTACCATCATGCTGTGCGCTGAGTCTGATGATATGAAGAGAGTGTAACATAGAAGTGTTTCTGGTCAATCAAAAAAACTCTGATGGAAAAATTGACTCTACAAGTTTCGTTGTGCATTACCGTTAAAAAGAATTTTGGTATTTATCTGGTGTACAAGCTTCTGATAAATGCACGGAAAATGTGATTATAACTCAGAGATGCAAAGGAAATTAAACAACGAATCTTGTGATTTAATTTAAGAACAAATCTGGAAATCCAGGAGACTAAATAATAATTGAACTCTTCCTGTTACAGTTGCAAAGAAAAAAGAGATTTAAGGAGCAAATATAACAGTGTGGACATAAACATGAACGACATAGCACATAATTGCTCCTCATGCTGATTCTGGTGATGATGGATTACTTGCAAATGGTGCAAAGAGCTGAACGAGCCGTTCGGTAATAACTAAATTAGAAATTGGTAGAGATACAAATCCTCTTTGTAAGTGCTAAATTGAATATATATATATATATATATATATATATATATATATATATATATATATATATATATATATATATATATATATATATATATATATATATATATATTTTTAAAAACTGCATGACTCCTATTAGACCTCAATAACTGCATTCCTTAGAGCACTCCTACTCCCACCCCTACTTCCACCCCACACACATTATTAGTTCCCGCTTTCCTGACAGGCTTATTTTCAATTTTAACTTCTCATCTCAGCTCGACTACTCTTAACCGTGCTCCAGAATATTAACCACTACACTGTGAAAGACACTATACCAATCTGTTTACTTCCAACAATCATATCCCAAATTTTAAAGCCTTGACAACATACTGTAAGGAGGAATCTCATTTAAAAATACATGCATACATGTTTTAAAAAAATATGAATCTATTGATTAATGACATGAAAGAGTAAAAAAAAATAAAATAGAGACAGTCATACATACAGTTATATTGTTATTAAGGATATACAATTTAATAATTGAAAAGAAAATTAAACAATTTTTGTAATACATTGTTATTAAGGCCATTAGGATACAAAGTAACTGCGAATCAACTGACGTGATTTTTTTGATAACTTGTAAAAAATGTAATATGCAATACGTTGGACAAACACTTCAACAAGTTTCTAAAAGAATGAATAATTATCGCTTTCATATTAAAAATTATAAAGATCCTCAGTTTTCCTCTAATATTTCTACACATTTTAATAATTTTAATCACTGTCTACTCGAATTTTCTTTCATGCCAATAGATATTGTGCATGGAGACATGAATAGACTTATAAAAGAGACTTATTGGCTTCATAAATTAGATACTTTGTATCCTAATGGCCTCAATAACAATGTATTACATAAAATTGTATAATTTTCTTTTCGATTGTTAAATTATATATCCTTAATAACAATATAACTGTATGTATGACTGTTTGTCTATTTTATTTTATTATTTTACTGATTCAGGTATCATTAGAGACTCGTGTATCTTTTACATCTTCTCATATATATATATATATATATATATATATATATATATATATATATATATATATATATATATATATATATATATATATATATATATATATATATATATATATATATATATATAATTGTTATTTTGGCCTATAAAAACGTCATCCGTTTATTTCAAAACATTTTGTGCCTAAAGAAGCATGCATTATATATGCAAAGCTAGTTGCCAGGAATTATCTGCGTATGTATTGTTTTTTTATATCCCAATATTGATATGAAAGAAAAAATTCTGACCCGTGTCCAAGTTCATGTGCCGCAATTGTTAAAAACATGGAGTCAAAGCCATTCTGTACGATGGACTGACTGGATGGCTTGCATACCGTCCCAAGATAAGCCAGACCTAGAAAAAAAGAACAAGCAATGCAACGATTATTTAGGGTATTCGTTATTGTTATCGTGCAAAGGATGCAAAGCCATTTTATAAGCTATGTAATGTTCTGAAATAAAAGGAAAGAAATATGAAGAAAAATAAACGAAAATGGAAACGCAAAGTTTCCTTCGGGTAACTGAGCTTGCATATATCAAAATTGACTTTCCCAGTTGTTGTGTTTTTTCAAGGCATTCATATCCAATTAGATTGCAGAATATAATTACAAAAAATGTAAATAGATTTTTTGAGGTTGTTATTGCATTCAACTGATTGAAATATTTACTTTTCGCCTATACTTTGGAGAACAATTTTTAAAATTTATGCTACTGATGAAGTGTTTGTGATCTTTCATTGTTTCTATTTCAAACATCCATTTAAAATATATTGACTGAAATGCTGAGATTAAATATGAAGAATTACATTCGTATAATATGTTGGCTGAAATGTTTTGATTTAATAGGAAGGTTTAAGTTCGTACAATATATTGACTTAAATCCTGAGATTAAATATGTAGGTTTACGTTCGTACAATATATCGACTTAAATCCTGAGATTAAATATTAAAGTTTACGTTCGTATAATATATGGCTTTTCCATATTGTATTCCAATAGCGAAAATGCAGTGATACTGTATTCCGATAGCGTGAATTCGGTGCCATGGTATTCTGATAGCTCGAATTCGTTGACATGGCATTTCAACATCGTAAATACACCGATAGTCTTACACGCAACACTTCCTTCTATTTATTTATCTGTCTGTATGTCTGCTTGTCTCTCATTCTTGCACATTTATTACCTGCGATTGCATTAGATCCACCACTGGCCAGATCATACCTGAAGGAAAATATATAAATCTTATCATCATGAAGAAATCATTAAGATTTAAACCTTAAACATCCTATCTGTTGTCATTTTTTCATAATTTTCATTTTTGAAATTTTTAACTTTTCAGAAATGGCACATATACATATCCCAAATTATCATAAATAAAAAGACCGAGAAGGGGATGATCATCTTCAGCAGATGAGACTGGCATGCTATTTATTAATCGCCAGACCCTGGTAATTCTCTAAGAAATAAATACGTCTTGCTATGTGTAAATTTTTTTCCTTTTTTTCCCAGAGTAGCCAGTAGGTTATAACTCTTCACTCATTCTTGGTAAATGTTCATAGAGAGCGAAAAGCCGAAACAACCATTTACCGACGAATATCGTAATTAATATTATTTTATGAAGTGGATATGGTCCAATAAGAAACGTGCTAAATCCTTCCTATGTCTTTTGTATAACACATGCTTTGGAATGGTATTACCAAAACAAAAACAGTCATTTTGGGGCACTGTGGTGATTTAAGTTGTGGAAAGTAGAAATCCTGTTTATTATGTATTTAGTGGTGATATATTGAAATCTATCAGAGGAACAAACTCTCATCGCCACAGTGGCGATAGCTCTTTTATCGCCACTGTGACAACATCACTCTTGGAATTACTTTCTGTTTCTGTTAAGAAAATTCGTCAGCCTTTATGTATGCTATTCAGAATTGTATGTCCATATTTAGCATTATTTCTTTTTGTGTTTCTTTTCTGGTACTCTCTCTCTCTCTCTCTCTCTCTCTCTCTCTCTCTCTCTCTCTCTCTCTCTCTCTCTCTCTCTCTCTCTCTCTCTCTCTCTCTCTCTCTCTCTCTCAGATCGCTCCGGTAGCCTAGTGGTTAAAGCGTCCGCCTCGGATGTGGGAGGTCGCGGTTTCGGACCCCGGCTGATTCATACCCAAAGACTTTTAAAACTGGTACTAACAGCTGTCTCGCCAGGCGCTAAGTATTAAGAGGTTAGTGTTAGTACTGGTCAACCTGGTGTCAGAACAATGTGACTGGGTAGGACATGATGCTACTTGTCTGCTGTATGATGTCCCAGTGCTAGACTTCACTATAAACTGCCACGCTGCTGACATGATATCGATATGAATGAAAATATTTTAAAGCTATGTTAATAATCTCTCTCTCTCTCTCTCTCTCTCTCTCTCTCTCTCTCTCTCTCTCTCTCTCTCTCTCTCTCTCTCTCTCTCTCTCTCTCTCTCTCTCTCTCTCTCTCTCTTAAATGTAAAAACTGTAGACTCTCCAGTATATATTTTTGCAATCACTGAGGTGCAATGAAGAAATGACAACAACAAACTCCAAACAGGATAATAAAGTATAAATCAAGTATAAACCTTTATTATAATTAGTTGTCTACATGAATCATCGAAAACAACAGTGCCTTAACATACATGACCTGTTAATATGTATTGCCCATACAGTATGTTATGCCTGTAACACACCACGATAAACTATACACATTAAAGTAGTAATTTCACAATTGTTTTTGAAAATGTTCGATGAATCAAGTGGTGATTAGTATTGATTGCAAACCGTAATTAAGTAACAATCGAAAATTGAATACAGCGTGTGCTACCGAGCAACGCTGCTAGCTTTGCTAGGCCTACGGAAATTTACATTTGAATGTAGATAAAATGAAGAATAAAAATCCTAAAAAGTAAACGTACAATCTTTAAAATCTTTTATTTGAAGATGTTACGTTTTGAATGCCTATCGGATGCAACTGCTCTGTTATGTTTCTAGTTACGCTACCCTGACAGTATCAATCCACATATAAAATGTATCACAGTAGTGTCAATCCGATATGCAGTGTGTTAAGAAAAATAAAAATTTCATCATTTTCGTATGAATGCAGTCACTATTTTGACACAAGTTAAATTTGTAAAACATGGCTGTCCCAAAATGATTGCATAATTTAGTAACTTCTTTTGATCGATGCGTCTGTTTATTGTATCGTCACAAAAAGGAGAAAACCAAAGCAAAACGACGGTGCATGCCCTTATAATACATACATACGTACGTACATACATACATACATACATACATACATACATACATACATACATACATACATACATACATACATATATATATATATATATATATATATATATATATATATATATATATATATATATATATATAATTTTTTCTTTGTTTTCTTCATAAAACCCCATAAATCACTGAAGCAGATTTTATCATTTAAAATGGAAAAAATTAGAGTTAAGCTTAGAGAGTTATATAAAGAGATGGATGGATGGATGGATGAATGGATGGATGGATTAACCAACATATTTGATAGAATAGGGTCGGTTGTTGATCAAACATAATATTAAACACAAAATCACAGTCACGAGCACCAGTATTCACGTCTGGGAAAAGTATTAGAAGTCAGGGTCTTTACCCTGTCAGAAGCATGGCATGATCATGATCAGGAAGTGATGTCGCAATGACCCAATCCCTAAAGTTGCCGAGTCCGGTACCTGCGTCGACCTGTGCCGGGGTATGGTTGGAGTTCTTGATACTTTCGGTCCAATTGGCATCGGCCACTGTCTTAACAAAAAAAATGTGACAAATAACTAAAGAAAATGAGGAATAAAATTAAAGCGTCCTGAAAGCAAAAAGTTACTCGAATGTTTATGTCTTCTAGAATTAACAAAGTATCGAAAAAAAAATCAAATGAAAAAATTAAAGAAATAAATTGGATAAATCTAAGAAAGATTTTTGCCTATGGAATAAAAGAAGAATCAGATTTATACTATGCCAGATAGAAATATAGATAATTATATATTTTTAGTATAAATGTATCAAATGGAATTATATACTTGCAATGCTTCCGCAGACGTCTAATTTCCAATAAAATTCGTAAAAAAATGAGTGTAAAGGTAGTTTTATGAGACCTTCAACCTGTTACCTTGAGATGATTATGTGTATAGTACTCTGCAAACGATATGTAATAGGATTTAGCAAGTTTAATGATATATTTGAACTGGGGGGAGGAACAACACATACGCCGAAAATTCTCTGCAACTAGTTTCACAAATAATGTATGCTTTTTAATATCAATAATCTCTCTACTGATTTTTCTTTCATGCTAATAGGTATTTGGCATGGTGACATGAATGTACAAAATAAACTTATTTGGATTCATAAGTTATATACTTTGCATCCTAATGGCCTTAATACCTATGCACTCTATAAAATTGTATAAAATATATTTTGAGATAAATTTTATATTCTTTTTAACATTATAATTATATGGAAGTCTGTTTGTCTATTTCATTTTGTTATTTATTTCTGAGAATGGTTTTGATGCATACGAAATACAAAGTCTGAGGCTGTCTTTGAAACGTACGAATTAGCACGTCTGAGGGTGTCTTTGTAGCGTACAAACTAGCAAGTTTCAAAATTCATTTAAGCGTACAAATTAACAAGTTTGTTGATGTCTTTGGCGCAAGCGAAATAGGATTTTTTCAGGATGTCTATGATGGGCACGAATTAACAAGTTTGCGGATCTCTTTGAATCGTATGATACAGCAGGTTTGATTATGTCTTTCAGAATACGAACTTGCAAGTTTAAGGATTTCTTTGAACCATACGAAATATAAAGTTTGGTAATGTCGTTCTGAAGCATACGAAGTAACAAGTTTAGGAATACACAAGAAATAGCAAGTATGATAATATCTTAAAAGCAAACGAAATAGAAAGTCTGATGATGTCTTTGAAGCGTACGAAATACCGAATCCGAGAGAATGTATCTGAAGCGTACGAAATTGCATATATATATATATATATATATATATATATATACATACATACATACATACATACATACATACATACATACATACATACATACATATACATATATATACATATACATATATATACATATACATATATATACATATATACATACATACATACATACATACATACATACATACATACATACATACATACATACATACATACATACATGGCGGTTGTATATTTTATATATTTCACGAAACCCACGTTGGCCGAGCCGAGACTCGAACACGCAGACAGCTGAGATGCTAGTGATTTATAAAGGAAAGCATTTAAAAGCACACAGGCATATGGGACCTCGTGTTATTTTGTAAGGCGATGAATATAATACATTTGCGCCCGTTTAAAATGAAATCTTTGAAAGCGTAAATTAATCATAGCCAGTTTCTAGGTCAATATCATATAAAAGAATTCGAGTAATTATAGTGTGATTTTTGGTCAAGACCAATTGAGACAAGTTGAATAATTATAGTGTGATTTTTGGTCAAGACCAAATGAGGCAAACTGAATAATTATAGTGTGATATTTGGTCAAGACCAAATGAGAAAAGTTGAATAATTATAGTGTGAGTTTTGGTCAAGACCAATTGAGACAAGTTGAATAATTATAGTGTGATTTTTGGTCAAGACCAAATGAGACAAGTTCAATAAATATAGTGTGATTCTTGGTCAAGATAAATTGAGACAAGTTGAATAATTATAGTGTGATATTTGGTCAAGACCAAATGAGACAAGTTGAATAATTATAGTGTGAGTTTTGGTCAAGACCAATTGAGACAAGTTTAATAATTATAGTGTGATATTTGGTCAAGACCAAATGAGACAAGTTGAATAATTATAGTGTGATATTTGGTCATGACCAAATGAGACAAGTTGAATATTTATAGTGTGATTTTTGGTCAAGACCATATGAAAGAAGCTGAGTAATTATAGTGTGATATTTGGCCAAGACCAAATGAGACAAGTTGAATAATTATAGTGTGATTCTTGGTCAAGACCATATGAAAGAAGCTGAGTAATAGATAACAAGAAGCATAATACAATGTTCAGGTTGATAAAGGCACACATAATCCATTATTCACATCAAACACAATAGCAGCTTTGGAAAATAAAAGCAAAATACAAGATAAAAAAAACGACACGATTGGTATATAGTGCACTGCATACTTTATTAAGTCTGACGGAAACGACTTTATTTCCATAATTTACTTTTCATATCTCGAACTTGCGTGTTTATTCAACACCGAAATTGCTTTCGCAGTGTTTATTCTATAACTGTAAAATTCGATCAACTATATTACTGCACCTCTCATTATATCGAGGCAGGCGAGACAAAAGGTAGTGGATGCCAATAGCTATTTTATCGGATTTGTTTATTTTATTTTGTCAGCGTACGATTGATGCCATCAGGGTAAAAAGGCTTCTGTGGGACTTAACGTATGTAAAGTATTAAGCCTATATAAAGTGTAATTGATAAGATAAATATTGTCAGCATCGACAATTGTTCAAAGTACCTCAGCAATGATAAGTCCTTTGAAGAGTATGTTAATTTTTGTTCCATAAGTGGATGAACTCTCGTAACGTAAATCCATCTGAAACGAAACATATATGAAAATTAAATATACAACATTTTTTCTAATAAATGATTCACTTATGTTACAGAAGAAATAGTATCATGACAAAATGAATAGACATGTTTGACGGTAGAGAAAACATATGCAGCGGCAAAATCTGAAAGGTCTAATACTACCGGTACTTCCAAACCGACACCTGCCGACAATAGGCCTTTATGGCACGTGTAAAGAATATGCCTTTATGGCACGTGTAAAGAATATGCCTTTATGGCACGTGTAAAGAATATGCCTATATGGCACGTGTAAAGAATATGCCTTTATGGCACGTGTAAAGAATATGCCTTTATGGCACGTCTAAAGAATATGCCTTTATGGCACGTCTAAAGAATATGCCTTTATGGCACGTGTAACAGCATCGACAACATGCAGTGTACATGGTTCACTAGATAAAAAAAGATACATAAATAGTACAGGGTCGTAAAGTATGAACAATATCATAACGATACAAT